ACCAAGCTTTAGAAAAACACAAGACATGTGTAAATGTAAAGTGGTGCAGAATGATACCAGTAAAGATTTCATACATTTCCCTGCACTTATACTGGATTCATGAGGATGATGTGACATTGGATAGTTCATGTTGGTATCAGGCCAAAAACCAACACAGCAATTACAAATCATGTAATCAATAACTTGTCCTGGGACATTTTCAACAAGTCACGGGTTTAAAAGCAGTGAAGGATGACCTCTCCAGCTCTTGAGTTACAGCCACCCCCTCAAGGTGTTCATCTAGGCAATACACGGCTTGCAGAATATATTAAGATGTGAAAGCCTAATTATAGCAGTACATGGTACTATAGTAGAAAAGACCTTGTACAGGTCATCAGGAGCTCCAGCTCGGTCCTATCCATATCTCAATAGGAGGGGGCAGTGGCTTGGCAGCTGAATGGACATCTTGATCGGCTGCTGTCCACAGGGGTGAGCCCATTAACACAGGAAGAATGGGAGGGTGACGGGGTCAAGCAGGACAGATGATTAGAAGAATAAAGCATGAAAGATTAAATAAAAGAAGAGAAACTTTAAATGAAATGAAATTAAGTGAAATAAGGTGTAATCCCAAGAGGACACAGTGGCTCAGATACTTAAAAAGATATAGATTCGCTGCTGACGTTAAGATGCCATGTCCGTTCAAGCAAGCTACATTTTGAAAAAAAAAATGAAAATAAAGTCATAGATCTGACCCTTTCCTTCAGATTCCAACCTGGAGTCACAGAATCTGATTTTCGCAGAGGATGGTATAACACCGGCTTGCAACACACACACACACACACACACAGGAGCACACACACAGCTCTACTTAGCTTTTAAGGTCAAATATTCCAGAACCAGCTTCGAACAGAACACCCACCCACCCACCAAATTTAGTGTGCTAGGATACGAAGCGTGAATGTTTTTATGGTGGAAAACAAGGCAGTTTTTTTTGCTTTCTTGATTTTTTTTCTTAACCTAATAATCAAGAGATCAGTGCCCTGCGTGAACACACACACACACACACACACACACACACACACACATGCAAATGGCAGGATTGAGAGTTAGCTGCATTTCCAGACAGTTACTCTGTCACCCAACAAGAAGAAAACAAAACTCAAAAATGGAACATGCAAAACATCTCCTGCAGTGGGATTTGTAAACAGAACAGGACATTACCTCCGTGACACTAGAGCAGCTCAGCTAGCTTCCTGCTCGGCTGCTGCACCAAGAACGAGCGTTTCGTGCACAGACAGCATGCTGTGTGCAGCAGGGTGAGAGAGGTTCAGAGGAGCAGCTTGATGGATGCATTATGATCCATTCATTTGGAAGGGGGACCAGCGCTGGATGAGGTTTTTCCAGGATTGTACATTTCAGAGGCGATTACGTATTTTTATTTTTCTTGACAAAACGTTTTATGTATTGGTTGCTGTCAGAATGTGAACAGATTTCCAATTATGGAACTTCAAAAATTCCCCAAAATTCACAGACTGTACCTTAAGGGATGTGATCAAACTTTTGGGGTGTTATGCCCTATTTCTGCCACAGGCGTGCACAACAAGATGCTACTATCTGCACACTTGTCTCCATGTTATTGTGATTGCATCTGTTCTAGTCTTTTAAAACCCCAAATAATAAGTATTCAATTAAATGTATTCCATCAATTTAGAAGCGAGTCTTAATGCATGTTTGGAAGACTGGATGATGGGCTCACATTATTGCAATAACAGTTTTATTTGTAACCACAAATGCTATTAAAGTTTCTTTCACTCTCCAGTCTCCTTAATAGTCCCTCATTAGATTTCATCAAAGAGCTCTGGTTCTGTGGTTTCTGGCCTTTGGATCGTCTCCTTCACCTCTACAAATATTGATCAAAACATCCAGTTAGAAGAATGATAGATTGTTCTTAAATGGTTTTCTATTTGTGTCTAGTCGATGCATCTAGCAGTTAATATGGACAGACAGGCATGTGGTGCTAAATAGCAAGCTTTTCTGCATCATCAGTGCAATCTTTAGCCTGCAGCTTCTGCCTGCCTAATGCCTGAGTGGGGCAGCTCGTCGTGCATCAGGAGCCTCTGACTGCACACTGATTTCTGTGATGGCAGAAATATTTCATTACAGTTAACTTTACCTTAAATATTCACTCAATTGAGCACGTTCAGCGTACGTGTCTGTGCTGCCTGCATGCCAGCTTGTGTAATGCATCTGCTCTCTCTCTCTTCCAGGTTGCGCCTTTGTTAAGTTCTCCACACACACTGAAGCTCAGTCTGCAATTGGCGCCCTGCACGGCAGCCAGACCATGCCGGTGAGTACAGATCTACAGCAGGCAGAGTTCACCCCACGCATATACACAGCACGTCACTATAATAAGATCCACAGTCCTGGGTTTGAAACTTTGAGCCTTCGTTTTTGTTTTTAAAACTTAGAGAAGGTGCACTCTTGTTAATAAACAAACACAATATAGAATATTCCTCTGTTCTTTTTTAGATGACAGCACACTTTTAAAAAAAATCCTCATTTAATTCCTAGATAAAACTGTTTAGAACGATAATTGAATTTTGGATGAGTCATCAATCAGCAGTTCTGCTCACATAATCGGTGAATATAAATCCACTCTGAGATTGCATTTGCTGGTTATGTAAGCACGCTGTGTCCTCTGAATTCTCTCCGCATTTGATGTTCTGCGAGCACAAAAAGCTGTAGCTCTCATTTGTATGTGGCTCGTGTTTAGGCACAGTCCCCGTTTACCTGATGGTGTCAAAATAAACGCTCGTTACACTGCTCTCCAAACCAGAATGGAGTTACCGTGTGACATTTAGAAAGAGGACGCCGAGTCGCTTTGTGTGTTCTGCGCTGGCCCGAAGTACAGCATGCTTTCCTTTTATCGTGGTTTTGTTTCGTCTCAGAGAGGCAAAGACACTGAACTTATTCAGCCCCGTGTCACAGGTGTTGTGTTTCACTGCATGATTTCATTATTAATGGTTGCCAGTGCGTAGCACAAGAGAGGAGAGTACAGAGAACCACCAGAAGCCAGCTGTGCCATCTTGGTGCAACTTTTGACTCAATCTAAGTGCAAATGACTGCAGGTCAGGAGGAAAGCCTCTAAATGTCCGTTCTCCGTAGATATCCTCCTTCTGTGTTGCGTTCCCCCCCCTATCTCTGCTCGCTCTCTGCCCTCCCTTGTCTCTCTTTGGCAGCCTCTTGGGATATTAGGGAATAGACTTGTTTACTCCACCTTTCACCACATTGGCTGCTGAATTATTCATCTAACTATAAGCAGGGTGCTGAAGGGAGGGGGGGGGGAGTTGAGAGAGAGAGAGAGAGAGAGAGAGAGAGAGAGAGAGAGAGAGAGAGAGAGAGAGAGAGAGAGAGAGAGAGAGAGAGAGAGAGAGAGAGAGAGAGAGAAGCAGACGGAGAATGAGTGAATGGACAGGATTTATACCTCCTGCTCCGCTAAATTGATTATAGAAATCTGATCAGCATCTTATATCCTGTGGATGCGGGAGGAGAGGGCACGGTGCGCCTGCCTTGCTGAGATTAACGGACCACCGGTGGACTATTAGGCCTCAACAGGATGGTGCTATTCAGAGCAAAAAGCCCATCGTTGTAGCAGAGGTCCCGGGAAAAGCCATGGACCAAACATCCTGCGTGTTCAGTGTGGCTCTGTGGGTGGCTGCTGAGTCACAGCAGCACAAAAAATGTATGTGCAAGCAAAATATTTCAAATTAAAAGCATAGCATCATTTAAAGGAGCGCATGCTGCCTCTCAAACCAGAGTTTTAAATGAGCATCATTTTTAAGTTAAGAAATGATGGAGGTTTGGTTGTTTCTGTTAAGTCTTGGGTGTTCACTCTCACTCAATTTTGCAAGATCTTGTGTAATCTGTTAGCACTCAGAGTATGTGCTGTGAATATGCTCTCAGCTACTGATGGCAAAATTTTGCTCAATATCTGTTCAATTCACCAAGTGTGAGTAATGTTTGTGACTTATCTGAAGTCAATTAGATGTCATGAATTAAAAAGTTCAAGACAGTCATAAAATGGGGTGTGTGTGGGCAAGAATCTGGGGATATGATGTGTATCACAACGCAGGGGAGAATATTCTAAAAATAGTGTGATACAAAAGTCAGATGATTTTTGCAATTTCAAGACTTAATTTAGAAACAAGACACATCCAGTGTTACGTCTGAATGAAGGCTGTGAAAAGTGCTGTTGGAGTTTGAATTGCACCACAAAATAGGAATACGTGTGTGCATGTACATTCTCAGTAAAAAAATCAATACACTGCTTTTAAACATCAATTCAGTGTCATATCATGACATAGCGCAATATCTCGATGTTTTGATGTTTTCTAAGTTGAATACGTACGCATGTGATCCAGAATTGATCTATCTTTTATCAAAGATTTAAATTTCAACCTAAATTTCCTTTCAATCTGTCGATGCGCTAAAAGTGAGTTGTGATGGCTCTCAGATACATCCACAGAAAGTTTGAACTCAGTATCTGTAAATTTGATGGAGTTATGATCTAATTAGTGTTTGCTAATGTGGATTAGCTGTGGCAGCTGTCAAAGCTAAAGCAAGGTTGGGCAATTTTGTGCGTGGAGGGCCACTATCCAGCATGTTTTAGTTGTTTCTCTGCTCCAACATTCCTGATTTCAATAGGTGGTGATTAACCGGCTTCTACGGAGCTTCATGAGTTGATGAACAGGTGTGTTGAATCAGGGAAACAAGTAAAACACTCTGGCCTGACTGGGGTCAGGATTGGGCATACCTACCTTAAAGTGTTGAGTTTCATTTAAGTGCTTCTTGAGATAGTTTGCACATACAAGCACCTGTACACACAGCAAGTCATACATTTTCTGCCCCTGGATAATGGGCGAGAGTTGATAGATTTTTGTCGACCACAATTTTAAGTTTAGCCAAAAAGCAAATAAATATCGCTGAAATCTAAATGGTCCTTCATATAGACAGATTACAGAGTATTCGCCTAATTTCCAACCTCCTGAGACGATAAGACAATCTGATCCAGCAAGTGTGTGTGTGTGTGTGTGTGTGTGTGTGTGTGTGTGTGTGTGTGTGTGTGTGTGTGTGTGTGTGTGTGTGTGTGTGTGTGTGTGTGTGTGTGTGTGCCTGCGTGCGTGCATGTGTGTGTGTGTGTTCTCTGTATTTGGTGCCATACCAGGGCAATGGCTAGATTCTAACAATAAATCAAGCTAAAATCATAAACACCAAAGTGTGAGTGCTTCTTACGCTAACATGGCAGCCAAACATGGTAGTTTTATAGATCTACTGCCAATCTCGCAAGGCAAGAACTTCTAAGACTTCATGGCTGTGCAACAGACACACCCATCTGTGTGTGTGCATGCATAAACATGTACAAACTAAAACACTCGGAGACTGGGACATTCGTCAGCACATACGCATACTAAGATGGGCCAGGGTCAAAGACTGCCTGACTGATCTTTTTTCCTGATCTGAGGACTTGAGGAGAATATGTTTGTGTTGATTTAGAGGGAAGTGGCTGTTTCATGTGTGCTCTTTGTGTGCCTGTATTGGAAAGACTCAAGGAAATCAGCAGAAATAAGGAGCGTGTGTCCATGCATGAAGATCCATGCATGTGCTGGTGAGTGCAAAACTTTTGTGAATTCCTCTCCATAGCTTCATAATAATAATAATTTTTAAACTGCAGAGCATAATAAAAATAATATCACATTTTTGTTGAACTTACGCCCTGCTCTAACCATCTCAATTTCAAACCATTTGGCCATCTTAAGAAATCACATGAACTCAGTCTCAGTTCAGGATGTGAGTGGCTCAATTAAACATTTAAACACTGGAGCTGTAGAGCAAATTTCTAGGAATCAGCACGACCATGTAAGAACCAAGGGCCTTGTTTATCAAGCTTGCTTACGCACAAAACGGGGTCGGAAAACTGCGTACGCAACTTTCGACACAAATTTTTTGGGATTTATGAAAGAAAACGTGGCGGAAAAATGTGCGCAACTTTAAGTTGACTAAGGACCCGGCTTATGTACATTTTGGACATGGAGAGCACCTGCAGTGCTGCTGCTGAGAAGGATAAAATTTTGAAATCTTGCAGCGTTATCACTTGTACTGCTTCATTTTAACACAGAACAAGACACCTCACACGTACACACACAGCCTGAAGCACAGAATACGGAATGCAGAATATCAGCAGGGGGACAGATTGAGACCGAATGTCATGCGTCTGTGACAGTGTGTGTCCTGTCACTGTAACCCCATTGACTATGCACCCTGGCTACTTGGACAAGGGAGATCTCTGTTTGGGTGACTTTTTAGCATGCATGACTGTCACCTGGGAGTCTGGGGATCAAATCCTGATTGAACCATTTTTTTATATCCGCCACAGATCTCTCTGAAGAACTCAGCATTGATGGCTTCAGCAACGCTGTGCCACTCCGTGGATTTTCTCTTATTTGTTTTGCAAAAGCACTTCCTTTCATTTCTCCACCTCACCCACAAGTACCTCAACTTCTGCTTGTGATGTAGTGCTTCCTTGATTTGTGGTCGTGATCGAAATGCTGCAACAATCGGCTTATGTATATGCATGAGGTCCACAAGGCACTTTGCTTTGACTATTTATGGCAGTAAGTGGGCGTGGTGAGAGCGGAATGTGACTAAAATGCAGCTGAGAACCTTTCTTGTTAGTCTCTGATTTATGAAGCGGAGATTGCGTGCAGCTGTGCATACTCCATGTTTGATACTGTAGATCACAAACCTACTTGGCATAAGTAAATTTTTTTTGCTGAGCTTAAGTACGGTTTTAGTAAGGATTCTACGCAATGTTTGATAAATGAGACACCAGGTCTCACGACAGAATTACACAGAAGCAGGAGGGAGGAGGCGGAGGGGGGTGTTTGGGTCAGGTCCATGGAGCCGTGCTGACTTTTTTTCCACTTCATACGCACGTCAGCTGAGTTTGAGGCTGTTTCAGCTGACACAGGCGCCAAGATAGAAACACAGGCAGGATGATAGAAGGATAAGCTCACAATAAAGGAAAACAAATCAGGTGAGGCCTGTTCAGAAGAAAGAGCTGCGTGATTGTGAGAGAAGAGAAGAAAAAGGGAGGTTAGAAAACACAAGCACATGTGATTCCCTTGCTGAAGAATTTTCTGAATTACTTCAGACAGAAAGCATACCTCAGTGCATTATTAGAGACTAAATTTGTTACTAAGGTATTTTTAATTACATTTTTAATGTTTTATCAATTTAAATGATCACAATATATAATGACATGCTGCACATGCTGGTCTAAGTCAGAAAATGAGATTAGACTGCTGTATATGTCTGTGTATCTTAAAGGGGACATGCTAACAAAACTCACCTTCTGCCTTCTTTTTAATCTCCCATGTGGGTCTCTACCATCTCTATAAACACTCCAAACACGACAAAACACATCCATATGTTTTCTGTCAGTGTTAAGTTTTAGGAATTCTGTACTTAAAACATGCTGTTTCAAAATGTTCCAGTTTGTGATGTCACAAACAAGGAAATTAGCACAGAACTATATCTGACGTGTCAGAGGAAGCTGCTGCTGGAGGAGCAGCGGCTCTGCTCCAAGCCCCTCACATGTATCAGAGCTTCTCAGCTAATAGCAACCTGAGAAGGGACTGGGTTGGCGTGGCCAGCTCCATCTTGTTATTTTAAAGTGACAGAGCCCTGAAACAGCTCATTCTGGAGGGTACTGAAACTGCCAAGAATTAACCTGTGGAAACTGCTTCATGTGAGAGGGATTTGGTGTTAAGAACTTAACTAAAATGTTTTTATAGACTACATAACTTAAGAAAAAAATGCTACATGTCCTCCATAAAACATGCAACAGAAAAAAGTAATGAAGCGGTAAAAGAACAAAGACAGGAAAAGTGTAAGGTAACTTAAATAATTACATGAAAACCTATAGTCTTTTACCATTAAGCACACACACTTTCATGTACGAAGCTGACATTTGAACAAATCAAAAACAACTTGAAAATCAGTTGAAATTTCTGTGACTTTTGATTATTTTAATTGTGATGAGACCTCCTGCCTCTTCAGACAAACAACAGGAGATGCAGCTGCTCCTTTAAAACTTTGAGGTAACAAAGTAGAAGCAAATGCAGTCATGTTAAAATCACACACCGCGTTGGATTTAAGTGGTTAGCAATATTCCGTAGATTATTGTCTTTGCTTTAAGCTAAAAATGATAAACTTGTAAAGAGATCCTTGCAATGAGAAATGGGTACCACAGACATTTTCTTCATTTTAGTCAACATTCCCACAAAAATCTGCAGTTTAAATAAAACTAATCTGTAGGAGACTTTTTCCAGGGAGGTTGTGACTTTTGATAAAAGCATTTCCTAAAGATGTGTGTGCATTGTTGGGGACATCATAATCACTCTTTGTATGCATGAATTAGACACTTTTTAAATTTTGCACAGTCTTTCAGAAAACTATGCTCTAATTAATCTGATTGGACAAGTCGTTTGAACCACAGTAACACACGATGTTTGTTGCAAATTAAAGTCAGCATCACAGCCGCGAAGCATGGTGGTGTAAATGTAAAAGTTTAAATTGATTTTCTGCCGCAGGTTTTTAATGAGCTTGTCAAGAAACGCTTGAAGATGAGCTTGTCGTCGTTGGTATGAAAGTAGTTATTACTTTACCTAGTAGTTATTTGTATATCTGCAAAAGGATGACCCAAAATAAAGCAAAAAATAACAGTTTTGTAAAGAAAGTCACAGAAAATTACATTTTGAAAATAAAAGTTAGATGCCACCTCATATGAAATCTTGAGCATCTGTTATATTCAACAATTGGTTTGACAAACAAACATGCAGACAATTCAAGTTTATTTATATAACGCCAAATCACACGGTGAGCATTCCAATACAGTTTAGTTCATTAAGCCAATCAGTAAAAAGTTTCCTATTTAAGGAATCCGGCAGATTGCATCGAGTCACTGACTAGAGTCTGTGTCTTTACTGCAATCCGACACAGAGACACAGGCAGAAACATCATTTCCTGTTTGATGCCTTTGCAGGGTGGGTGATAGAAAACATGTTACAAAGCAGATTCTCAATACCAGTGCTTAATTTGTAAATGAAAGATTGCCAGAACGCAAACAGCGATGTCAGATGGCATGATGAATGCATTTTTTGACAAATAACTAATCATTTCGCCCACGTTTTCAAAGTTTATGTAAAGTTCTCTTGACACCGGTCATTTTGGCATCTTTTCTGTTCCCGTTTCAGACAGCCCCCTCCCCCTCTCCTGCGCAGCAGTCGCAGACTGAAGCAGGTTGTGGAGTTCCTTAAAATAAGTAATTGAATCACTAATGGGTGGAGCAAAGACAATGAACAAGTCTGGTTGAATTTCACACTAAAATTCAACAAATACAGATTGAGAATAGACAGATAAACCTCTCTCACCATTAGTCCGTGACCAACACAGCTCCCTTGATTAACTATTGTAATCATAGCAGCGCAAGCTAGCGGATCCTAGAAGACAGTTACCGGAACGCGTCCCTTCAAAATGACACAGTTCCTGGATCCTGATCCGGCGAGTTTCGGGTCAAATTAACCCTCTGATGCATGAATTATGATATCTTCAACCATGATTTTTTAAACAATTTTTTTCATTCATCTTTAGGTGTGAATGAAACAAATTTCAACAAATATTTTTTTGTAAAATTTTATAATTTACAAATAATTTATTACATGTCCACCTCATGGGACAGCATGCATTCTGAGCATGAGATATGTTGGCTTTGCTTGTTGAAGTCCAAATGGAGGTGCTCAAATGCAATAAAGTCTTTAACAGCTGTGCCTAATAGCAAAAACAAATAAATAACAATTTTGAGTACCTGTTCACTGTAGTGACCATTATGCATCAAAGGGTTAAGCACTGCTCAATACCAATCAAAAATATTGAAGACGTTGAAATTACTTTAAGAGATTTGACTAAAACATCCGTTTTTCACGTCAGGTTTGTATGTTTATGTTTAAAAGGTGATTGGTTTGCATCTTCAGAGTCATCATAACAGAAATATTCTGTTTACCCACCACCAGGGTGCCATCTCTCGTATTTCAGCACAAATGTAACTTGGACCCTTACCAAAAAATCTTCGTATTATTGGCAATTAGACGAGGCCATAAAGAGACCGACTTTCCTTTCGGTTCAAAATCTCTGTAGTGCCTTTTTATTCTCCCTGTTTAGCTCACCTTCCTTCAGTGGCTCTCAAGGCAGCTGGGAGCCGCCCGGCAGGGGGATTCTGCTCACTCTTGGCAGCTTAAAATTTTAATGAGACTTTCACTTCACACTTCATCCTCCTCTCCTTTATAGCCATGGAGATGCTGCTCGCTGATATTCTGATGGGCATAAATGGGAAAACCTTGGCGATAAACAAATAGGCCAACGGATGCTCAGCCAGCAAGCCCCCGTAAGATCCATGCATCCCGAGGAGAGCCGGTGGGATGCCTCTGTCTGCAAAGCTCCTCTTGGAAAATCTTTACACGGAGCAACAGTGTTGAATGACACAATGCCGTTAAACAACCAGATGGGTCAATTCACAGTAAACCTTAGACTTCAACCTAATCTCTTTAAATTACTCATCTCTAAGATTAGAAATGCTCTTAAATCCATGAAGTTAAAAGCTTTTCTTCATGTGAAAGTTAAAATATTTTAAATATTCCTGTACATCTCATTTTCCCTCTAGCCCTAAACAGCCCGTCCTCCTAATTTATACCATATAAGAATGCCAGTGATGCACCAGTTGGACCTAGCAGATCTAACATCTGCACCAAAGTATAAAAACAAGAGATTGCATCATTGTGTCACCTGGCTTCATTATAAAATGAAGTTTATACTAGAGAGCATGCCAGTCAGTAAATCTTACAACTAACTGGACAATCAGTCATTTAGACAGAGAGCCAACTAACCAACTGGTCCTTCACCTAAGGTCTTTCAAGCCTGTGATTCGACCGAGCGAGCCCAGAGGAGGAGGGGGGGGGGGGGGGGGGGGGATATTGAACAAAGTGGCAAAGTGGGTAGAAAAGGGAAAAGAGGAGCATAAAATCTATAAGCTGCAGTCGAAAGGTCCAGTGCCTGTCTCTGAGTATCTTTTGCTGTCTCCAGATGTCTTTATTAACAGGAGATCTCATTGAAGCAGGAAGCACTAACAGTGAAATTAAAAACTCTAATGAATCGTGTGATAATAATATCTTTCATTAAGGATATGATTTAAACAATGTATTTGTGGTCCAACGCCCAAATCTCCGCCTTTCTCTCTCTCTCTCTCTCTCTCTCTCTCTCTCTCTCTCTCTCTCTCTCTCTTCTCTCTCTCTCTCTCTCTCTCTCTCTCTCTCTCTCTCTCTCTCTCTCTCTCTCTCTCTCTCTCTCTCTCTCTCTCTCTCTCTCTCTCTCTCTCTCTCTCTCTCTCTCTCTCTCTCTCTCTCTCTCTCTCTCTCTCTCTCTCTCTCTCTCTACTCTCCCCTCGCTCTCTAACCCTCTAATCCCACCGTATAACCAGTCACTGCTGGTATTGACAGACCTGCATCAATTTCATGGGACTTCTTATCACGTTTGACACACAACCTTTCTAAACTGTCAGAACAGAGTAATATTATGGCCTTTTATGTGGATCAATCGGCTGATTCGGGGCGCAGAGGGCAGGAAATAGGCGGAGCTTACAAAAGGTCAACGGTAACATTCAATCATTTGAACATTCCTAATGAAGGATGAAGACTGCTAATGAATGCATAGCTAGAGGCACACTATGGAGGAGGGGGGCTTTAAAAACAAGGCCATACAACTAAACTTTTTCTGCTTTGTTGATTATTTTATTTTAAGTAGTAAACTAGAGGAAATGGTGGAATGAAAACTTTTCCTTTCTATCTAAGCAGCTTCATCCAATAAACAGAAAACTCTCTCTGTAAACTGCTTCCGTGTGTGAGAGAGAAAAGTAAAGCATCCTCTACAATAATAACGTGCGACGGTGCTGCAGCAGATTCCATCAAAGGAAAAGATTTAAAGCAGCTCACAAGCTGCTGTCACTACTAATAAGATATCAGAAATAATAACCAACATAACGACTATCTTTTTGTGATTTGACTTTTTAAAGCTTTTGTCTCAAAAAATGTGCTAAAACATAATTATCACACAAATATCTGACAGTCTTCTGGGCATTGTCAGTAAGCAAAAACAAACTATCTAACCACTTGAATACATATTTTTCTTCTCATTTCTCTTCCATCAGGGGGCCTCTTCGAGCTTGGTGGTCAAGTTTGCCGACACAGATAAGGAGCGCACTATCAGACGCATGCAGCAGATGGTGGGGCAGTTTGGCATCTTTAATCCAGCCATCGCCCTCCCCTTCAGCACCTACAGCTCTTACGCACATGCGGTGAGTTGGCAAAGGCATACAAGACCTACGGAGGCAGAGTTTTACTGGACATGTTTATTATATGCATTAAGACGCTGCTATAAAAGCTAGCAGATGTTGACACTGTCCCTTTCACACAATAAAATCATCGGGATCTGTGAGCAATAATGGCTGCATTATAGTGTGATACAGCGGGTTTTTACAGCATCATTGTGTTTCACAGCATGATGGTTCCCTCAAAGCTTGATTGGTTTCCTTCATCCGTACCAGAGCATGTTAAACCACAGAAATTGCAGCAGGAGAAGCTCGCTTCATGCTGTTTGACCAGAACAGCAACAAAACCTTTGAATCAGGGGAGAAGCTGACTTTACTGCTTATGTTTTTGTAGTGTTTTTTTCAACCTATTTTTATATGTGCTTTTGAAAATCTCACATTATTACCAATGCTGAAAATAAACGCAAATCACACCATGAGTTGTGCTGCAGGCTGCTGTAGCTAGGGCTACCAATGAACTAACACTGACATGAGTCAACTAATACTAAAATAAACCACAATGTAAATCCACAGAAAAAATACAAGTCCAGTATCAACAAAGCCAGGTCACCATCAGTCTGTGATTTTGTAGCCTCCTTTAGCTCCCTCAAGTTACCGTAGGCTGAGATTATGTTCACTCTGGTTTTAGCTCTTTACTTCGCCCCCAAAGACGTAACTCTATTGCTTTTACTTCCAGGCTCTGCCTTGTTGCCAACAAAACAAGCAAAATTATTATTTTTCTTCTTCTTGTGCTTTTTTTGGCAATCGGCAAACTTAAAATGCTAGCTGCTAGCTTTACAGCTAACAGTCATAAAGCAGGTAAAGAGCTCCCTCTAGGACACCCGTCTCACAAAACTGTCAAGCAGATAGCTTTTTTGATAAGCAGAGGATTGCAGAGTGGTGTCAAACATAAAACTGGTCAACCATTACTGAGATATAAAAAATAAACTACTATTGTTACTTTAAAGCGACAATTTGTAACTTTTCCATATTTTTAAATCATTTTCTTGAGCCAGTATGTGCTCAAATAAATTAATACAGGGTCAATGAAAGGCCAGCCAGCCCCTATCGCCCCCTGTGGCCAGAATATCACGCTTGCAGCATCACGGTTGCCGGTCTGGTCTGCTGGGACGGAGCTGAGGTACCTGACACTGCTGTTTGGCTTCAGCATGTTCACACACACCGCAGCAGGGCTTTGGCAAGCCGTTGGAACATGTATTTCACATACACTTCTAGCTTTGAATACATTAGACTGTATTATGTTTCCAACCCTACACCATAAAATATATATGCCACCATTACATTGTTACCAGTAGAAATAAAATGCTATTCACATTTCCAGTTGCTTACTACTGAGCATATTAATGAAATAATGGAATTATACTGATCATATAGATATATTTATATATGTTATTTTGACTAAGATGAGTGATAATAATTCAAACCTAAAATGTTAGTGAAACGTTGGTCAGACTTTTTTCCGCAACATAATTGATGACTATATTATCAGAAGGGAAAGACGTAACTAGACAACACCAATTTATTACATGTTATTGAGCAGTTTATCTCGTTTCAGATAGACAGGTGGACAGAGGATTCAACGGAATATTCAAATCTTAAAATAATCGATAGCTACAGCCCAAGTGCAAACTTTTATATAGCTTTGCATTATTTAATTCTATCACAACAGTTTCAATCCAGCAAAAGATAAAAGAAGGTTCAGTTGTTTGCCTTGACTATAAAAGCTCTTACATGCTAAACATTAAAATACAAAAACATATACAGATGAAGTAAGTAGTAAGTAAGTAAACTTTATTTATATATCACTCATCACAGACATAGAATCACAAAGTGCTTCACATAGATCAAAACAAAATAAAACAAAGTCATAAAATAATAAATAGATTAACATCATAAAATCAAAATGCTCTCAAAACAGAATCAGATCTGAAAAAATAGTCATGAAATTATAAAATTTCATAAACAGATGAAAGATTAAAAATTTCAGTAAAAATAAGAAAATAAAAGGTTTAGGTAAAAGCAGCTTTAAATAAAAGGGTCTTTAGCTGTTTTTTTAAAAAGTGTCCAGACTTTCAACGCTGCATAAGGATAAAGGAAGATCATTCCAGAGTCAGGGTACAACAATCTGGATGGAGCGATCACCTCGACTTTTGTATCTGGTCTTTGGAACTTCTAGAAGGTTCTGGTGTGTGGACCTGAGGGCTCTTGTTGGAGCATAAGGCTTTAACATTTCAGTAATATAGGGAGGAGCTTGACCATGTAGAGCAGCAAAAGTTATAATCAGAAGTCTAAAAAGACTCTAAAGTTAACGGGTAACCAGTGGAGAGACATCAGAATAGGAGTGATGTGTGCTCCTCTGTTTGCTCCAGTTAGGAGCCTCGCTGCAGAGTTCTGGACCAACTGATGGCGGTCAAGGGCGTTTTTGTTAAAACATGTGAAAAGTGTGTTACAGTAATCTAGACGGGAGGAGACAAAGGAATGGATAACCATTTCATTTTCATGTTTTGACACCAACCTTCTCAGTTTGGAGATATTTCTTAAATGATAAAAACAGTTTTGGACCAACGTTTTGGAGTGACCTTCAAGAGACATTGATTGGTCAAAAATAACACCCAAATTTCTTAAGTCTGTCTTGATGGCAGAGGATAAATAACCAAGTTTTAGACTAATCAGGGGAACCATGCTCTCAGGGGCAATGATCAGACATTCAGTCTATTCAGAGTTTAACTGAAGGAAGTTATCTTCTAGCCAGCTGGGGATAGCTGATAGACACTCTAGTAATTCAGACAGTTTATAGAACTCAGAATCCTTAAAGGAGCAGTACAGCTGAATATCATCTGCATATAGGTGATAAGAGACATTATGAAAAGAATCAATTATCCGTCCAAGAGGGTGTATGTACAGCAGAAACAACAGTGGACCCAAAACTGAGCCTTGGGGTACCCCACAGAACAGATCAGTAGAATCTGACATGATTTGGTTCATACAGCCACTGTAACTTCTGTTAGAAAGGTACAATCTAAACCAGTCTAGAACGGTTCCAGAGATCCCCACCGAGTCACCAAGTCTGTTAATTAAGGTGCTGTGATCAACAGTGTCAAAAGCTGCAGAAAGATCTAACAATACTAACACTGTGAACTCCCCGTTGTCTGTAGCCGTGATGTCACTGGAAACTTTAAGCAAAGCTGTTTCTGTTGAATGATTTTTACGAAAACCTGACTGGATTTTATCAGAACTGTTGTGTAGTTCCATAAAAGTAATCAGTTGATCTGCCACAACCTTTTCCAATATTTTAGAGATAAAGGGTAATTTAGAAATGGGTCTGTAATTTTTAGGCTGAGATGAATCCAAACTTGTTTTTTAAGGATAGGTTCAATAACTGCATGTTTGAAAACAGATGGTACAGAGCCAGACTGCAGAGATAAATTAATTCAATCTACAATGCATGGGCCAATTTGGTCAAAAATCCTGATTAAGAAGGTAGTAGGAATGAAATCAGCAGGGCATGAGGTTGGTTTCATGTGTTTCTGAATGAGGCAAACGTCCTGGAAATCTACAGGAGTAAAGACAGACCATGAATGAGAGGGAGGGGGTTGGATGGGGGAGGGGGGGGAGGGGGTGAAAAACTTGCCTTGATATTTCTGATTTTATTCTCAAAGAATGCTAGAAAGTTGTTACAGTCAGACCTTGAGTAAACTGGTATAAGAGGAGCGTGAGAAGAAACAATCAGATTTATGTCTTCTGTCCATCCTCTGCATTCATTTCCTGTTCATTCCATCCATCCATCCATTTTCATCCGCTTATCCGGAGTCGGGTCGCAGGGGAAGTAGCCCAAGTCGAGAGGCCCAGACTTCCCTCTCCCCAGCCACTTGGGCCAGCTCCTCCGGGGTAATCCCAGGGCGTTCCCTGGCCAGGTGAGGGACATAGTCCCTCCAACGTGTCCTGGGTCTACCTTTAGGCCTCCTCCCGGTTGGACGTGCCCGGAAAACCTCACCAGGTAGGCCTCCTCCCGGTTGGACGTGCCCGGAAAACCTCACCAGGGAGGCATCCAGGAGGCATCCTGACCAGATGCCCGAGCCACCTCAACTGGCTCCTTTCGATGTGGAGGAGCAGCGGGTCTACTCCGAGCCCCTCCCGGATGACTGAGCTTCTCACCCTATCCCAGCCACTCTTTGGAGAAAACTCATTTTGGCCGCTTGTATCCGTGATCTCGTTCTTTCGATCACTACCCAAAGCTCATGACCATAGGTGAGGGTAGGAACGTACAGGTGCTGGCCAGTAAATTAGAAAAGGTTGAAAATATTTCAGTAATTCCATTCAAAACGTGAAACTTGTACATTATATTCATGCAATGCACACAGACCAATGTATTTCCAATGTTCATTACATTTAAATTTGATATTTATAGGTGACAACCAATGAAAACATCAAATCTGGTATCTCAGAAAATTAGAATATTCTAAAGGCCAATGAAAAAATGTTTGTTTCTCTAATGTTGGCCAACTGAAAAGAATGAACATGAAAAGAATGTGCATGTATAGCACTCAATACTTAGTCGGGGCTCCTTTTGCCTCAATAACTGCAGTAATGCGGCGTGGCATGGACTCGATCAGTCTGTGGCACTGCTCAGGTGTTATGAGAGCCCAGGTTGCTCTGATAGTCGTCTTCAGCTCCTCTGCATTGTTGGGTCTAGCGTATTGCATCCTCCGCTTCACAATACCCCATAGATTTTCTATGGGGTTAAGGTCAGGCGAGTTTGCTGGCCAATCAAGGACAGGGATACCATGGTCCTTGAACCAGGTGCTGGTGGTTTTGGCACTGTGTGCAGGTGCCAAGTCCTGTTGAAAGGTGAAGTCTGCATCCCCATAAAGTTGGTCAGCAGCAGGAAGCATGAAGTGCTCTAAAACTTCCTGGTAGACGGCTGCATTGACCCTGGACCTCAGGAAACAGAGTGGGCCAACACCGGC